TCAATGATGAGAGAAAATCATTTATTGGCTGCCTACTGCACACCCTCCCCTCCACTAGGGAATGAGCCCCCAATCCAGGCATGTGCCCCGACTGGGAATTTCTGGTTGGATTGGTTTGTTTTTATAGTTTCTTTTTTTGGTTAAACTTCTCATTTGGTTCATTTTTTTTTAAGTTGTCTGTCTATGGGTTCTTATAGTTCACTGAACTGCTTTAAGAGGATTTTTCTAAATTCTTTGTCAGACATCTTATATATCCCCCCCCATTTCTTTAAGGGTAGTTATTAGAATTTATTAGTTTTTTTTTTGTAGTAGTGCAATGTTTACCCAAATATCCATGATCCTTGATTCCTTTTGTTTGGTATCAGTGCACATAAATAAGCAATCTCCTCTCATAAACTTTACAGGTTCACTTCACCAGAAAAATGCCTTCATTAGTCAGCTCAGGTTGGAATACAGTACAGGAGAGCTGATAGCATGCATGGGAAGATGGATATGTCATCAGGTTCTCAGTTGGGAAGGCCAGTGCCTGTGCTCTGATGTTGGTGGTTGGATGATGGCTGAGCTCTGTGGTTTGGTGAACTTGCAGGTTGGGCTCCCTGATCAGGCACAACTTCTGGCTGTGCTCTGGGGCTTAATGGGTCCACTTTCTGAGCTCTACAATCACCTCTTGTTGAGGGAGGTTTCAGCTTGTGTTTTGTGGTATGTTGGTGCCAAATGTTGCACTCTGCAATTTGTCAGCGTTACAGGCTGGGCTCTGCAATAGTTCCTGGTTGGGTAGAGTTTCAAGCTGTGTTCCCTAGTCTGATGGTGTCTCTGGCTGGACTTAATGCTCAGTTGGGGCTACTATAAGGGCTTCACACTCATACTGGGCCTTCGATTGTGATCTGAGATCTGGTGATGCCATTGGTTGTTCCCTGAATTTGGCTGTGCTACAGGGTGGGCTTCACAATAAGTTAACTTTCTGGCTTTTCTCTGATGTTGGACATGGTTATTGGCTAAATTTTCTGATTGAGAGGGTCCTCCAGTGGCATACTGCATTGGATGGGGATAGAGACTGTTCCACGTTGAGCAGAGTCACCTCCAGGATTTCTCATTGGGTGAAGCTAGGCTGCCTGAATGGATGTGGGCATAGGCTGTATTAATCAACTGGATAGGCCATTGGCGGGGCTCTGCTAATAAGATAGAGTTATAGATATGGTTCCATGGGTCACCTGAACCATAGGCTTGTCACCATGGCTATCTGGGTTCTCTGGATTAGCTTTCTAAAGGACCAGACTGGCTGGCCAGCAGGGCTCAGTGGTTGTGTGTGGGAGTGAATCCTGGAAAAACTATGTTAGAATATAAAATAGGGATGGCAGATGCCTATTTCAGCCATCTGATCATCTATTTATAATCTCTTTGGATGACATATTGCTTCCCATTACACAAATTACTCATCTTGCTGTGACAGTCAGTACACATTGGCCAGACCTGCAGCTCTGTTGGAGTAAACTATCTCTTCAGCCAGCAGGCTCATCTAGTATATTCCTAGTTTGGTCTTGCTGAGAAAACTCTGTATAATCTTAGTTCAGGCAAAATGGGGGGGGGGTGGTTAGGGCAGTGGTCTGTCTAGCAACAGGGACAGGGTTCTCTCTTGCAGGACAGTGGGTTCAGAAGGATCTAGAGTTCAGAGTTCTCAGGTGCATCTACTTAGAAAACCCCATTCTGAGTTTCAGGGCTTGATGTTTTCTTTATCAGGGATTGGGCACAAGAGGCCAAGCTGAGCTTAGAATTCAGTCTTCTCTGAAGTTCTATCATTCTTTTTTTTAAATTAATAAATCTTTATTGTTCATATTATTACAGATGTTGCTCTCCCCCCCCCCCATAGCTCCACTCCACCTGGTTCCCACCCCACCCCATGCCCTTACCCCCTGCCACTGTCCTCATTCATAGGTGTAAGATTTTTGTCCAATCTCTTCCCGCACCCCCCACACCCCCTTCCCCCTGAGAATTTCAGTCCACTCCCTATCTATGCCCCTGCTTCTATTATATTCACCAATTTATTCTGTTCATCAGATTTCTTTATTGACTTAATTTTTAGATTCACTTGTTGATAGATATGTATTTGTTGTTCCTTTGTTGTTCATAATTTTTATCTTTCCCTTTTTCTTCTTCCTCTTCTTAAAGAATATCCTTCAGCATTTCATATAAACCTGGTTTGGTGGTGATGAACTCCTTTAGCTTTTTCTTGTCTGTGAAGCTCTTTATCTGACCTTCAATTCTACATGATAGCTTTGCTAGGTACAGTAATCATGGTTGTAGGTTCTTGCTATTCATCACCTTGAATATTTCTTGCCACTCCCTCCTGGCCTGCATAGTTTCTGTTAAGAAATCAACTGACAGTCGTATGGGTGCTCCCTTGTAGGTAACTAACTGTTTTTCTCTTGCTGCTTTTAAGATTCTCTCTTTGTCTTTAGCCTTTGGCATTTTAATTATGATGTGTCTTGGTGTGGTCCTCTTTGGATTCCTCTTCTTTGGAGTTCTCTTCACTTCCTGGACTTGTAAGTCTATTTCTTTCATCAGGTAGGGGAAGTTTTTTGTCATGATTTCTTCTAATAGGCTTTCAGTATCTTGTTCTCTCTCTTCTTCTGGCACCCCGATAATTCAGATGTTGGTACGTTTGAAGTTGTCCCAGAGGCTCCTTACACTATCTTGATATTTTTGGATTCTATTTTCATTTTGCTTTTCTGGATGGGTGTTTTTTGCTTCTTCATATTTTAAATCTTTGACTTGATTCTTGGGATCCTCTCGTCTGCTGTTGGATCTCTGTATATTATTCTTTATTTCAGTCAGTGTATGTTTAATTTCTGACTGGTCCTTTGCAATTTTTGTTGGCATTCTCATTAAGATCCTTGAAGGTCTCACTAAGTTCCTTGGAGGTTTGTAGAAGATTCTTGAATAATCTTATAACTGTGGTTCTGAACTCTATGTCCTCCATTAGTTTGCTTTCCTCCATTTCTTTCATTTGTGACATGTTTCTTTGTCTTCGAATTTCTGGCTGACTGTGAGGACCCACTGTGTCTATAAGAAGAACTGCTGTGCTAGAGACACCCTTATGAGGCAGGACTTGCTTCAGTGGGGCTTTGGTGCTCACTGATTCTGTCTGCCTCTTGAGTGTGTCCCTTATGGATGTGAGGAGTTGAAATCTGGTATCTGACCAGGGGTACCCTGGCTCCTGGATCTCCAAGTCAGCCAATGTATGAGTCCACCCAGCAGGAGCTACAGCGATATCAGCAGGTTTCTCCTCTTTGTTTGGGATTTGGAAGTTTTTGGAGCTCTCTGACACAGCTGAAGTTAGATTAGGCTGCAAAAGCCCAGGTGATTCCTTTGCGCTGCTGAGCACAGCTTGGGAGGGGATGTAATTTGAGTGGGGTGGGGTCTCAGAGAATCACCTTGGCGGAGCAAACAGCAATGGCTGTCGTCAGTGTCTCCAATGGCTGTCATCAGTGTCTCCAGGACTCCTTGAGTCTCTGCAACTCCGCATCTCTGCAGTCCAGCGCCCCCACAGCAACAATGATCCCTGCAAGCAGCTCTGTGAGAAAGCCACCCTCACTTTCCAAACCGCTGCAAGATAGTCCAGTTTCTCCCTGTATGAGTCTGGGACCCCAGAATCTCGCCTTAAACGAGCTCAGTGCATTTGAGAGCTTGTATCTCCTTCCAATTGAAAAAAAGGCGCATCCAGGTGCAGCCTGCCTCACACGCGCCTTTGTATCTCTGTTCTTGGTGCCTCTGCACCTCCTACCCGGTCTCAATGTGCTTCTTTCTTTCCTTCTAGTTGTAGAACTTCCACTCGGCCAGCTTTCCCGTGGTTATGGATGATAGCTTTTTTTGTCTTATAGTTATAGTTTCGATGTTGTTGTGGGGGGCAGCATGCACAAGTTTATACCTTATGCCGCCATCTTGGTTCTCTCCTCTTTTTTTTTTTTTAAAATGGTAGTTTCTTTTTTTTTTAAAATATATTTTATTGATTTTTTACAGAGAGGAAGAGAGAGAGATAGAGAGCCAGAAACATCGATGAGAGAGAAACATCGATTAGCTGCCTGCTTTCCCGTGGTTATGGATGATAGCTTTTTTGTCTTATAGTTGTAGTTTCGATGTTGTTGTGGGGGGCAGCATGCACAAGTTTATACCTTATGCCGCCATCTTGGTTCTCTTTCGGCTTTTTTTTTTTTATATATATAATCCTCACCCAAGCACATGCTTAGACAGAGGAAGAGGGAGAGAGAGACATAGAGAGAAACATCTCTCAGTTGCCTTTCATACTCATCCTGACCCAGGACCGAACACATAACCCAGGTATGTGCCATGAGGCAAACTTTTCTCTTCACAGGAGGATGCTCAACCAACTGAGACACTCGGGGTGGGCAGAAGTCCGTCATTCTTAAAATTAGGGCCTGCACCAGGCCTTCTCTTGTGTATCTTCCAGATGCAGGTGGTAGTTAATATATAAGCTTGTCATGTACTCTTTTAAACACTTTAAATGAGCTTAGAAATAGCCACCTAGCCAGGCTGGTATGGATCTGGTTGAGCCATGGTTCAATTCATGTTCAGGGTATATGCCTGGGTTACAGGCTCAATCCCCAGTAGGGGGTTTGCAGGAGGCAGCCAATCTATGATTCTCTCTCATCATTAATGTTTCCTTCTCCTCTCCTCCCCTCCCTCTGAAATTAATAAAAGCATATGTAAAATAGTTTTTTAAAAAAGAAATAGCCATCTAATCACACAGTTCTTACAGTTACTATTTCTTTGTAAATGTTAGACAATTGCCTCTTCCCCTATATCTCATTCATACAGGTGAATGTGTTTTACAACTGCACTGTTTTAGTACCTCAGGGACTAACAGTATTCCACCTGTTGCCAGCTAGCTAGACAGTGATCCAGCTCAGAACTCCATGCTTAGGTCTGGCTTGCTAGACCATAATGTGAAGTTGAGTTCCCTAAAAGCAAAGCCTGAGACAAAGTCTCTTTAGTCAGTGATTTATTGTGAGAATTTTCTTGGGAGGAGGAGGGATAAGGGAAGCAGGACACTGTGCTGGGAAATGCTAAGCAAAGATGTGGTCATAGCTGGAGACTAGCTCTAGCCTGATTCCCTGAGGAGCACAGGAACATGAATCACTCCACATGGTTGGTTCATCTTTGGTGCTGGGAACCAGCCCCCAGGACAAAGAGATTTAACTTTCAGGTGAATATGCCTCCATTTGGCCCAAAGAAATACACTGGGGAGAGATGGCATAAGCAGTCAATACACATAACAGCAGGGATGAGAAATCTGCCTGAAATCGAGATTTTCCAGGGTATCAACAGCATCCACTACACTAGTGAACTGTTCTGATTTGTTTACTGAATAGCGAAGACGTCTTTGAAATTCTTCTTAAATTCCTCTTCTGTTAGGTCGGAGTCATAGTGCTGGGGAAAAAACACACAGAAAAAAATAATGACAATATCAGTGTCATTATACAATGTGCATTGGAAAATGATCAGAACTCTTGTTTTAAACACGTAAGTTACATTAAACAGATTAAGTTTAAAAACTCAAGCAGCTAAGCCCAGGTGGTGTGGCTCTGTGGTTGAGCGTCCACCTACGAACCATGAGGTCATGGTTTATTTCTGGTCAGGGCACATGCCCAGGTTGTGGGCTCGATCCCCAGTGTGGGGCGTGAAGGAGGCAGTTGATCAATGATTCTCTCTCATTATTGATGTTTATATCTCTATCTCCCTCTGCTTTTCTCTTTGAAATCAATAAAAATATATTTAAAAACAAGCAAAAACAAACCAACAAAGCAAAACAAAACAATACAAAAATCTCAAGCAGTTAAGAGTAACTTTTGTTTCCTAACAGCATGATTAACTCTTGTTGTCTAGACAGAAATGGGAAATAATTACTATACAGAGTACTCTCAGTCATTGGTTTTGGGTTGTTTGTTTCAGTGAGAGTTAGAAAAGTAATCTAAGGTAACAATCAAATATTCCAGATGGACAATCAGTGGTCTTCCTCTCACATTGTCAATTCTATTCCCCTCTAGTGATATGTTATATGTTTCATTTACATGCAGAGGAATTTGCAGTTTGGGACCTCTGAGAGGTCTGATTGAGTATATTTGGGAGAGGTAAGAAGGATAACATGACTTTAGGAAGGAATTTTTTCCTTAGGTTTTGAGCAGGGAGGACACCACTGTTCTCAATGGTCACCTGTCACCTTTGAGGAGAGGAATTAGCTCTCAGTGGCCTGGAGTCTGGTGGCAGAGACAGCTCCTTATTCACTGTTGCTCTCTCTGAGCTTAAATCCTTAATTTAAAAACCCAGTCACTTCCTGAATCCTTGCTTGTATAGGCTTGTCATAGGATGAGGGAAACTCTAAAATCTCCCAGTACCAGGAAATACAGGTAGAGTGACTCAATGAGTAGAAAATGAAATGGAAGCAGGGAGAGCCCCTTACCTTATGATCCTGAAAGATGTTGTTCATTTTAAGCACAAACTCCTTCACTTGGGGGTAATGTCCCTCAATTAAACTCTTCTTGATTTCATCCAAGCCCTTAAGTGTCTCTAGGCATTGAGAAGCCTTTTGAACCTGATGAAAAATATATAAATAGGAGCATTACTGACACAGGTGAATGTCTGTCTTTTGTGGATTTCATAAAATCCAGTGGAAATGCAAGGTAAATAGAAAGACAGCTCACATGCTCTCCCTCCCATGGGCTTCATATCACAGATCCCACAGTGACCCTGTCAAGATGAGGTAATATTATGGAGGCTTTTAATCATGGTTTGTTGTTGTTACTCACATAATGTTCATGTGGAATATTCAGAAAAATTTTGCTCTCTAAATGGTAATAGACCTTTAGGAGTAGGCATTCACATTTCTGCAAAAGAGGGAGATTGTGAATGAAAAACAGCTTGGAGAGAATGAGCCCATATGCATGCCCAGACAGATGCATGACCACAGTAGTCTTCTGGAAGTTTCCCCGAACAGGAATTGACACTAACATATAATAGCTAAGTTATTTTTCTTCTTGTTCTTTCTGCAACCAGGTTCTGGTGAATTTTCAGTGTGGTTGAGGGTTGAGGCATGGTCAGAAGAGCAGCTTAGATGCCATGCCGTAACCCTTTGAAACCCTTGCCCTCACTCATTCCTGTTTGACTTCTCATGTGAGCAGAAAGGAGATGTCTTGGGTCAAATTCAACTCACCAACTTCTCTTCTGGCCCCATCTGTCTCTTCAGGACTTCAGATTCACTGCAACACTGCTGACTTCTTAAAGACACTTGTATTGTGCAGAAGGTACATCTCCACTCACGGATCCTGTGATGCAGGTGGAAGTAAGCAAGGCAAGTCCCAGAAACACCTCTGTTCCCATGGCTGCCACTGACCTCCTTTCAGGAATGGCTGATAGGCACAACCAGGGAATGAAGCGTCACCTCCCAGATTCTCCAGTAGTCTCATGTGAAAACCAGCTCTCTAGAGTAGAGGCAGCAGTTTATTGGGTGGAAGATGGTGTCTGGGTGAGTGATGGGCTCTCCCTTACCTTTCTGAGCTGGTGAGAGCACAAGGAGCCCTGCCCACGAAACCTGAGTGTCAGAAATGGGCTTTAAGCCCTGGGGGCCTTGTGCCTCTATTAGCCTGTTGAGAACATGGAAAATGAGGAAAAGTGTCCTTGTTTCCTGCCTTTTCTGAATAAGCACAGAACACAAACAAGTAGCATTTGCTCTCCTGTGAACAGGAGTCCGAGGTGGGAAAGTTCTGAAAAGGACAGTAGTGGTATGTAGGAAAGGATCCAGCCACCTGTCTCAACCTCCCAGGGGAGAGAGGGAAACATTACCCACCTGTTGACAGTATCTTTAAACAGATCCCGGCATCATATTACTGGACCCTGTACCTCTGACCCTGCTCTTTGCCCATCAGTTCACAAGGAGAGACTTTGCATTGGGAGTGTGCATGGCAGGAAGAAGGTCCATAGAAGGAGAGGGGGCTGCATCTCACAAACCTCGTAGGATCCACAGGTGGGATGTGACAGTCCTCATGAAAGAAGCTGAAACAACGACTGCAGTTGAAGAGCTTTCCTTCATCCTCACAGATCTTGCATTTCACTGTGTTTTCCAGCTAGAAGATAAAACAATTTCTGGATCCCCAGTGAGACTTTGAAGACCAGCTCTGTGGGAATCTGGAACTCATTTCCTTTGTAGGAACCTAAATGGACAGTTATGTGCTTCTCCCTGAGCTGTGAACCAACTGCATGGAGTGGAGTTTCAGAAAAAGAACTCTTGGTTTGTGGTGAAGTTCAGGAGGAATGGCCTATGTGACCAGAAAAGGTTTTCCTACAAAACCAGAGTCTCTAACACAGAAAGACCAGCTACAAAAGAGAGGGTGAATTTTATAGAATTGTGAACCATTGTATTACCTTGCAGATAAAACAAGGTCCTGGAACAAAATTCATTTGCCTATACCAAAATGACTAAAATGACGCAGGGAAAGGTGGTTTATTTAGAAATTGATAAGATTGAATAAACTGCTAAGACAGTATTCCTGTTTTCTTGGCTAAAGGCTTCCCATAAGTTGAAGGGCTTGGTAGGGGTTCCTGGACTGTGGATTCTATACCTGAAGGGCCCCTGAATGTATGACATTATCTTTGAATTGAAAAGACCACAGGCACAGATGACCAGGTCGTTCCAGGGAGAATAGAGCTCTTTGGCACTAGAAGCCTGGGGAGATGCCCCATGACTCAGCATGGCATGTAAGGTGTGGAGCCTCCATCACTGAATGGGCAGAGAAAGTGGCAATTGTGTTGTTTTATAAACAGAATAGGGAGGGACTCCCTTAAACAACTGATACTGGATTTCTTACCAGTCTCAATATGTGGCCTTTAACCATGTTTAATTTCATTTGAAGAAGATAAAATTTGACAGTATTTCCATCCAAATCCTGTGGCATAACATCTACTCATTGAACCCAACCAAATTTATAGAGCAGATATGAAGATACACTGTGTTATATACAAACATATATATTCATGGAAATAGCTAGCCTGTGCCTGAGCCCTATCCTAATCAAGAAAATGCAGTGTAAGGATTAATATTAAAGTTCAATATTATGTGCTGCTGTGACATTTGGTAAAATTGAGAAGGCCTTGAACAGCCTATCTGCGAGTACCTCTTTCCACTCTGCTCTCCTGGATAAGGTCCCACAGCTAAACAATGCTCCTTGTCAAGGGGCTACTTGTAACCCTGCTCAGCCTGGAATAACAGGTTTCAGTTCCCTGTCAGCCATGGAATTATTTAAACGAGCATGCCATAACCTTCTAGGGAAACCAGGGGATAACCCACCCTCCACAGCCCCTGGTTGCTCCCTCTGTTCCTGAGGGCAACCTTGGTGAGGCCTGCATGGCTGGCACTGCCCTCCTTCCTTGGTTTAGGAGTATATGTGACTAATACACATCTGTTAATCCATCTGTCCAGTGACAGATGTCATTACTTGCTGTCCCCCAAATTGTGTGGTAGACAGCCCTCCCTCATCAATGGGGTGAAAAGAAGGTGATTAAAACAGAAAACCCCTTTATTCTTTCTTTTAAATGAGAATCAGCATTTACATATGAATCAGGAACTATCAGGAACTATCAGGAACTATATTTGCTCCTGGTTGTTTTCCTGGTTCTGCCTTCTGAGAGAACGCAGAAGATTCTGGGTTGCTCTGTAGATAGAAACATCCTGTCTATCCCATTGTCTATTGGAGAAATTCCTACCCTCTTGTGACCATCTCAGTGACACAAATGAGACTGAATTGGGGACTGGCCCCCATTGATGAGTGCTGGGTGGAGGGAATGTGGTCCATTGAGGAGCGGGAAGAGGTAGGGATGATAGTGTCCACTTTTCTCTGCCAGGACCATTTCTCCTTTCTCCAAGCACATGGGGTTGGTGCCATTACTCTCCTGGGTTTAGTCAATCAGCCTCACTGCTGTATCTGTTTCCCTTTTGTCCTCTCCTCTTCTAACACTTAGACGGAATCCCTGAAGTTTATGTATTTGGCCATTTGATTGCCCCAGATAATCAAATGACTCTCAAAGCTGCAGTTTCATTGCCATGTCTCCAGCTTCCAAATGTCTAGCCTGTCTTCTGCATTTGTGCACATCCCTATGCTCACCCAGCATCTCCCTTTGGCCCCTTAAAGCACACTCCAAACTCATCCAGGCTAAACAATGTATTATCCTGTCGCCACACCCACTACCTGTTCTTTCCTGGTGCTTCCATTTCATAAAACATTTGCCTTTGACCACAAACTTGAGAATTTATCCTGGGTCTATACTCTCACTTGTATTCCAAATCCTACTATGCCCACTCCTTTTCACAGTAATGGTAACACTTCTTTTGTTAGTTCGATCTCTGTAGGGTCCACTGTGTACAGGAATGCTAAGACCCCAATGAATGGTTCCACCTTAATACATAGAGAAAAGTGTTCTGTTTCTCAAAGTCTGTATTATATCTCTGTTAGCAGCACAGATCACAAACGTCCATCTTGAAGTAAATGGGCACAGTAATGTGCAACACAGCTATGTTGTTACTCTTCATGCAGAAAGTAATAAAAGATGAAAAGTCACTCTGGCTTTAGGGTGAAAATTCTTATCTGGGGAGAATCAGGATTCTGGTCATTTCTTTTGCTTTAAAAATGGCCATATATGAGAAAGTGCAAAGCTCAAGGAACATCTGGCCAACAGCTCCCATTCAGTGTTCCAGAAAATCCTGAACCACATCCATAGTGGAGATTGAGACTGGGTCTAACATGGAGGCCTGGGGCCATTTTCCTTCTACTCACTGTAAGCACTCACAGACTGCTATCATCATTCTCCAGAGATTGGTAACCATCTTCCCAGAAGAGCAAGGAAATAACAAATGTAACCAGTGCACAAGAATCTTGCATCCCTATCTGTAATCAAGTCTAGGGCCTTTTCCCTTTGGCTCATTGTGTCTTAGCTTGGCTGCACATTTGAATTTTCAGAGGCGAGTATATAAAATACTAAATTCCTGGTCCCAACATCATAGGTGCTGAATCAATTGGTCTGGTTTAAGGCACAGGCGTTAGTTTTCTCCTTAAGTCATAGAATGAGTAAGTTGTGTATCAAAATCATCTGGAGACATTTTAACAATTCTAATGTCCAAGTCATAACTCAGAATGATTAAATCGAAATTTTATCTAGAGTGGGATCAGACAATGTTATTTTTCAAAGGTCTTCAGGTGATTCTGTGTGCAAAGTGTGGAACCTGAGTTGAGATTTAGTTTCACATGTGTGATTATTAATGCATGAGTATATTATAAGCCAATGCTGAATTGGGCAGTAATATCTATCCTAGGAAAGATTATTAAGAAGAGTGAGGGTACTCTTGTTAGAACAATTGCCTTTTCTTCCCCATGGAGTCTTGATCATGGGTAGTGTGACATGAACTCCACCACCTCCAGTAACTCTTCTAAGGCAACCGTCAAAAGTTAAAATGAATCTAAGCTCCTCCTTCCTCCAAGTCAACTTCCAGAAGTTCATCCTCATTTCTCTTTCATCCAGATCCCAAGATGGCACCTGGCTGACTTTTCACAGGAAACTGACTACTGGGTACAAGACTCACATTGCTCCTGATTATTCAATAGAATGACTTGACTGCATTACCTTCAGGCAGCCTCGGCTTTTATCTCCACCCAGGTCAGAGAGGTCATAGACAAGGGTGATCCACTCAAAAATGACCCGAGAAATGGTAATGTCATTGCATGCCTCTCTGGAGAGCCTGGAATACCCTACTCCCCATTAATTATTTATCCATGGTAAACAATGAAGTTGAAATAATTCTTGAGGTCAGGGATATTATTTCAATCTTCTGTAATGAACGTTGGGAATTTTTTAATGCATTAAATAATTGCATAGTGAATGAGTAAATACATGAGTATTGTTTCACTTAGGAAAAGAGATTACTTGCTATCTCTTTAGCAAATACTAGCATAAAACCAATAATAGGTTTGGCTGAGTATTTCAGATAATTTGACAATTCAGCAGCTGTCACCAGAAAGGATAAATGGCCTTCATCAAGAGACAGGAAGCTGTCATGTGGTGACAAGTGTGACACTAAAGTTTTGAGAAACCAAGACTCCATTAGCAAGAGAAGTTCTGGGAGGCACAGATGATCCACTGAGGTAGTAATGGGTCCTGAGATCTGACACTTTGGGTCACTTCAATCCCTCATCAAGGAGACACAAAATATAGAGGCAACTGAACCTTGTTGCTGCAAAGTGTTGTACCCATGAATAAGGATAGAACCTGTGGGTTGGAAGTTGCCAGCTCTTTTAGGTACTCCAGATTGAGTAACTCTAGACACATAGAGAATGATAGAGACACTACTATTTAAAGTAGTCACTGAATAAATAAAAGAATACGTTATCTTCAGTAAACCCAATGGGTATAATGTGCCAAGGACTGGTGGGTCAAAAGTCCTAGAATATCAGATAATCTAAAGGCCTAGACAGCCATATGTAACCTAATGTACATTCTTTGAAAGTCTTGCATGGTCATTTCTACCTGGAGTATACGAGAATGGCACTTTTCACCTCCCCCTTCTTCTTAAGTTCTCATTCATACTCAATTTTGAAAAAACTATCACTTTGTCCTGAAGCTACACCTCACATTATGTATTTTGTTTGTTTCCTCCATAGTCTTCTTCCATAGAGGGAGAAATCACTTTCATAGATAGTCAGGAGGTCTGCAGAGCCCTGAGGTGGAGCCAAAGGGTTGGCATCAAAGTAAGGAATTTTCCAGGTCAGCACCTCATGTAAGACATATCAATCTCACAAAAGCTCCCTTCTAACAGCACCATCTTTAGGAAATATTTCCCAATAATTTTTGCCTGAGACAGAATACTGTATGTCTATTTTATGGAAGGATGGAAGATGCTGTAAAACAAAAGCAGAAAAGAAATATGCTTTTAGTTGCCTATCTCATGAAATAGTGTATAGTTTCATATATGTCCCAAGATAGACTCAGTACTAAACCTGGTTCACCTGGATGATGGTGATCAAATTTTACTTCATCAGATTTTACAAAATAGTAACCTTTATGAAAAAAATCTGGTCTGAATTTAAGATGAGCCTCTTACCTTATTAAGAAATATTTTATGTATTCCATAATTATGTCTGCTTTTACAACTTGGACACCCTGACAATATCTGTATCTATAACTAAAACTCAGCTATGAGATCTATTTTGATGGCTCTTTGTTATCCTCATTTCAAATGGTTTACCATTCAAAGATGACCTTGCATTCAACCTAATATTCAATGGAACAAATCTGAAGGCACAAAGAAAATAAATAAATTAATTAAATAAAATGAAGGGAGGAGCTAGGAGAAGAGGCAACAATGTTAATTACAAAACTGAGAAACCATAAAAAAGATGCTACACCATATAAAATTAGTTATGTAATAAGAACGTGTATATTTTCTCCTTAGTTTTCATTGTCCTAGGAGATGTATTGGTAAACATATTGCTAGGAGAGATGTCTGAAGTTTTGGTGCCAATCGTTTTTTCTAAGACTTTTATGGTTTCATGTCTTACATTTAAGTCTTTTATCCATTTTGAGTTTATTTTTGTGTATGGTGTTAGGTTGGTGGTCTAGTTTCATGTTTTTGCATGTACCTGTCCAATTTTCCCAACACCATTTATTGAAGAAACTGTTTCTACTCCATTGTATGCTCTTGCCTCCTTTGTCAAATATTACTGAGCATAGTGGCTTGGGTTGATTTCTGTTCTATTCCATTGATCTACATTAAAACAAAAAGCTTCTGCACTACAAAAGAAACCATCAACAAAATAACAAGAGAGCCCACTGCATGGGAGAACACATTTGCAAATGATACATCCAATAAGGGGTTAATCTCCGAAATATATAGAGAACTCATACAACTTAACAAAAGGATGTCAAACAATCCAATTAAAAATGTCAAATGACCCAAATAGACACTCCTCCAAAGTGAACATATAGAAAGCCAAGAGACATATGGAAAAATGCTCAAAGTCATTAATCATCCAAGAAATGCAAATCAAAATGATAATGAGATATCACCTCACACCTGTCAGAATAGCTATCATGAATAAATCAACAAATGACAAGTATTGGAGAGGTTGTGGAGAAAAGGGAATCGTAGTACACTGTTGGTGGGAAAGCAGACTGTGCAGCCATTATGGAAAACAGTATGGAGTCTCCTCAAAAAATTAAAAATGGAACTCCCATTTGACCCAGTGATCCCACTTCTAGGAATATATCCTAAGAAACTTGAAACACTCCTCAGGAAGAATACATGCATCCCCATGTTCATAGCAGCACAATTCACAATAGCTAAGATTTGGAAACAGCCTAAGTGCCATCAGCAAATGAGTGGTTTCAAAAACTGTGCTACATCTACACAATGTAATACTACGCTACCATAAAAAGAAGGAACTTTTACCATTTGTAACAGCATGGATGGAACTGGAGAGTGTTATGCTAAGCGAAATAAGCCAGTCAGAGAAAGATAAGTATCACATGATCTCACTCATATGTGGGATATAATGAACAGCATAAACTGATGAAGAAAAATAGATCCAGAGACAATGTAGCACTGAACAGACTGTCCAACCTCAGAGAGAAGGCAGGAGAGCGGGGAATGGGGGGTGTTTAAGAGATCAACCAAAGGACTTGTATGCATGCGTATTATCATAACCAATGAACATAGACACTGGGGCGGTGGGGGCTTGCCCTCAGGGGTGGGAGTCGTGGGATGGTCAATCGGGGAAAAAGGAGACATATGTAATATTTTAAACAATAAATAAAAAATTCACATATGATATTATCATGTAAAACAACCTAAGTGCCCATCAGCAGATGAGTGAATAAAAAATGGTACATTTACACAATGGAATACTATGTGGCAATAAAAAAGAAAAAACTCTTACCATTTGCAACGGCATGGATGGACCTAGAGAATATTAGGCTAACCTAAATAAGCCAGTCAGAGAAAGATAAGTATCACATGATCTCACTCATATGTGGCATATAATGAATCAAATAAACTGATGAACAAAAATACACCCCCGAGACATAGAAGCATGAACAGACTGTTGAACCTTAGAGGGAAGGCAGGGGAGGGTGGGTAGGAAGAGATCAACCAATGGACTTGGATGCATATACAATTGTCTTTGGAGACAGACAATTGGATGGTGAGGGCCTGGGGGTGGGTGGGATTGGGGGGACGGGAGCAGGCTGGAAGAGGTTAATGGGGTGAAAAGGGAGATTGATATAATACTTTCAACAGTAAAGATTAAGAAAAAGAACTTGTATAAAGTAATAATCACCTTTTTCTTCACGCCACCTTTTCCTGGAAGTTCAGGTAGATACTGAAAGAGTAAAAGATCCAAGTGTATGGTTAGCCTGTGCTTATGTTTTGTGGATATGGCATTGCAACCTCCTCCCAAATATTTCTACTTGCATGTTCCACTGTCAGCTCAAACCAAGATGTCTAAATAAGAAACCATCTTCCTCTCCTCAGTGGTTCTTCTAGAATTCATTAATAGTAGCTGGAAAATCCTCCTTAGAATTTTTTCCTTTTCTTTTGTGTTCTTACTTACTTAAGTTTTCATT